GCTCCCCTGCACCCAGCAAGTCCATCCTCCATCCCCGCGCAGCGCCGGCACCCCTCACAACCCACTGGCTCTCCTCTAGGACCTCTGAAATGCACGAGTGACCCCCCCCCACACACACCTGCTGCTCCCCGCCGGTGGATCATGGCAGCTCAGCTGATGCACCGCTGTCGCTGGCTCTTCAGCGTCGTTGTTCCTGCTGCCTCAGCGGCCCCAACTTGCATGCTGGCACCTTGGGGCAAGAAGGTGATTGTGAGGGTGCTTCCCCGGCTGTCTGTCCTTCCGCTGTACACCTTGAACGTCTCTGGGCTGAAAGACAACGAGCCGACACAGATGGGCGACAAACGTCTTAGTTCCCAAAAACTCAAAAAGTTCCTTTCAGTAGCCACCACCACCGAAGAGGTCTTGGATCTTAGTAAGATGTACAGTGTTGATGCCTCGATGGCTTCCCAAATCATCATCAAGCTCTCCCAGCTGGCAGCGGCAGGAAACGAAGACACTGAGAGAATCATAAATGACAAACGCTTTGAGCTCCTGTTCCTCTGTCTCAGTCAGAACGTAAGTGCCGGCTGCAGCCTGGGAGGGGCCAAGGGAAGGTGTGGAGAACAGATCTGTTCACGGTGTTTCTGCGCTGGCCTAGGGCTGATGGTGGGGAGCTGACTGGTCCCGTCGTGCTGCTTTGCATCCTTTCTAGCTGTGATGCGAAGCGGTTGGGACTGGGGGACGTGGCTGTAAGTAGGCAGGGCAGGAAAGGACGCGCGTTGAGCGCTGCCATATTTTCCTCTGCCACAGTGCACAAATGCTTTGTATCTGCATGTGCATTACTGTGGTGGCTACTGGCATCATGCCTGAAAGTGGACAGGGACAAAGGGCTTTGTGGTAACCTGAAGCAGTGGGGAGGCTACCCTTTTTGGCAGCCCTACCCCAGATGAGCCCCATGCCCTCTCCGAGTGCTACTCCACTCCCCTTCTGCTGCCTGGCCAGCTGCTCTGCTCCCAGCCCCCATGCTCCCTGCCAGGCCTGCTGCTCAACTTTCTGCTCCCAGCTCCGTGCTCCCTGCTTGGCCTGCCGCTCTGCTGTCTTCTCCCAGCCGCTGCACTCCCTGCCTAGCCTGCTGCTCTGTACCCTTCCTAGCCTGCTGCTCTGCTTTCTGCTCCATGCCTGATTTTGTGCTTTTGCTTTCTGGTTCCTTCCCGATCTTCACTGTGCTACCTTTTGTCCCCATACCCCACATCTGTCATGTGCCACTTGCAGCACCTAAACCACAGATTATTCAGTCCTCACCTAGAGCAGTAGTTCTCAACCTTTGGTACCTTATGTACTCCTTGCCGATCGACACAGCAAAAGCAAAACTGGAAGTCCCACCGTGGCACTTGTGGTTTCGCTGCCACAAGCCGAGTCACACTTTCCACCGTGGTCCAGGGCAAAGCAGCTTGCGCGGGGCCTCCCTCCCTATCCCCCGGCACACTGATGCTGGGGAGTGAAAGCCCCAGTGCACTGGACACGGTGGGAGGGGCGGCAGCCGGAGCTTTCGGCCCAAGCAGGCAAAGACCAAAATGCAGCACCCGCGTACCCCCTGCCCGTGTCTTGTGTACCCCCGGGGTACGCATGCCACGGGTTGAGAAACACTGACCTAGAGGATGTTACACCGCTTCCCCTTCACAATTTTTATGTATCTTATTAAGATGTTGTTGTCTATCGTATCATTGGTTCAAGGGAGAGTTGCTTGAGAGAGGGTCTTGCTAATATCTGTTTCCTTCATAGGGGCAGAATCAACAACAGCAAAAAAAAAATGGATGAAACTTGAATAGAGCTGATATTCGATGTTTGCCCATCTGCAGGATTTTGCTAAAAATGTTAGTTTTCCTGCTTTGAGGCACTGTGAGGAGTCCACCCTACTTTTGACTCTAGCTTAGCCAGATGAAACCTCTATAAAGTGATGAGACGCCTAAAGAGAATCACAGGGGTTTACATGTTACTGTATAGTTTCCACTCCTTATTCTTAAACCCACAGCAGCCTTGTCAAATTCAGTACTGTCCTCCTCCATGGTTGGTACTGGCCCAGCTGGCTGCCACAGCAACACCTGTAGTTCATGGGCCCCAAGTCTCTGTTACTGAACCCTGGGGATAAAAATATACTACAGACACCTGGTATTTCTGTTGATCTCAATTGTTCTGTCATGTCCTGTTATCTGCCAGAGGTGGCTGCAGGTGAGTGATATTTTTCTGAGCATTTCATACAGGATTTCTGGATCCTTCAAGTGAAAGGTGAGTTAGGAGCGTACAGAAAGCAGTGGAAGTGACGGCCTTCATACACCCTGAAGTCTTTCTCCTGGCAAATGACTGCAAGTGCCTTCTGCTCATGAAGTCACTGGCTGGTTGCTGTACACACAGAGTAAAGGCACTTTGGTCTGGCTGTAGGGGAAATAAGAGATATTAACAGAAAGATATTGATGGATGTTGATGGAGATGATGGCTTGAACGCTGGTCACAGGCCTGTGGACAGCTAAGAACTAGCTGACCTGTCCCAGATCAGTATGGGCAGTAGCTGATGCTGGTGGGAAGTGTGTGGGCTAGAATAGCCCACTGATTTTGGTGCGTGGGCAGTGTTCAGTGTAGGAGCTGTTAAGCATCACATTGGCAATACTGCGGCTGCCAGGAGCTTTATCTCCCACTGCCAGGCAGGACAGTTTAGCCCCATCACCCTGAGCTGGTGATTTGACACTGGTGCTTACTCCATGGGACGCTCGGGTGGATCCAAAACTCTGATCCTGTCTGATCTGTTTGTGCATTAACAATCACATTACCCTCTTCATAAGGACTTTGTCCCTAAATACCCCCACTTCCCACTGTTCTAGGCCTCAGCTGGCTTCATATATGCAGCACCAGGGTGGTTTGGGATCATATACTTTGAAAAAGCATTACATGCTGTAAAAATTGCTCTTTGCAGCAGTCAGTGAAGCTGCAGCGGTTTGTTATCTTGAGCTCCCAGCACTGCAGAGCAGAGAGAGCCTTTACTCCTGAAGCTTCATGTAAATTCATGGCTCTCCATATCAACGATGTTTTAATTCCCTGCCTGAGGGGCTCAGTTAAATCCTGTGTCTACAGAACTGGGTGACCTTTCAATCACTATCCACATTTACAGTAGTACAGCTTGGGCCTCGTGATAAAAAGCAATTCAGTCTCAATTTCTCACACACTTCCTAGGGATGATCACTTGAAAAACCTTAATTACAACTTTGAAACTGCCAAGCATCGGTGATGCATAGGGGGTGCATGCAGGTACATGGGCACCCCCTGAAGTGGGCGGCACACCCCCTGGAAAAAGTGCGGCCAATGCTGCCGGCAGCACCTGCGAGCAGATGCTGTTCACCCACCCGCACCGCCGGCAGCATGTACAGGCAGTCCCCAATTGCCACTGGCCACTGCCCCCACCCCCAAGCCTCTGGGGGCATGTGGCATTCATGCTGCCAAGCTTGCCTAATATTGTAGTGGCATCCGTTCATTGTTACTAATGAATTTTTATGAAACAATGACTTTTTAGAAATGGAAAATCTCCCATGGAAAGGTAAAGCACTGGAAAATTTTCTGCCTCACGTCTGGTTCTCCTGCATCAGCATGAGAGAGCTGCTCCAGGGGTCAGGAAGGAAGCTGCTGCCTTCTGTACAGCTCACTCCTATAATGAGCTTGTTATAGTGGCATTTGCCACTGGTGGAGACGCAGTGTTTGATCCAGTCTACTACATCCTCTACTGTTCCAATAAGCTTCTCTGTGTTTAAGTGACCTTTCTGCATCTCTCTCTGCTGCCCAGATATCACAAATCTTGAACTGGACCTTGGTGGGCCTCCTGAAGAGTTGTTACCATCTGGACAGCACCATGGAGAAGTTTGAAATAGTGAAGCAAGAGGTGTACTATCGCCTGAAGCATCTCAGCGTCAAGCAGCTCAGTTCCCTAGCCAGTTTCCTGGCCTCCAGCAAGCAGACACAGAATGGTAACAACCTGCTGAAAGACTTGGTGATCAACCTGGAGCTCCGCTGGACAGAGATTGAGGACGTCAGTACCGTGGTGACGCTGATGTCACAAGTCAGGCAGTTCTCACCGACCCTAATGAAGCGGCTGGAGACCAAGGTACAGCTCCCACAGGTTTGATGCTCTCTTGCCTGCTCCCATCCCTTCTCAGCTTGCCCTGTGCAGCAGATGAGCTGAAGGAGCTACTGATCAGGCATGGGGGGGGGCCTCTACCCCTTTCTGGGGGGTTTTTGGTTGTTTTTTTTTTTTAAAGTAGCCTGTCACAAAGATGTAGGCAGTCTTCCTGTGCAGTACCTGGGTGTGCTTGGCCACTTATGTGCTCAGATGCCTCCCAAGTCTGTCCACTGTGTGCTTTTTTTGAGCAGTGGTTCTGCAACCAAAGGTCTCACTCAGCTCAGAGGTGCTCAGTTACGAAAAGAACAATTCCTGTTCCTTTTCCCATTTCAGTGAAAAGGCTTTGTAAGGAGACTCATGCTGCTGCAGCTAGGCTGCTTGCACAGGGCTGCAGAATTGCACTTCTTAGGGTCTCAAGGCAGGCTGGTCCCACCCCTCGAGATGTTATTGAAGGGCGGGGAAAAGAACTGTTACTTGAGTTTGTCATCCTAGTATGTTCTGGAGCAGTGGTTTTCAACCTGTGGTCCGCAGTGAATATCCATACTTACGATTCAAAGGGGTCCACACCAGCATTCAAAATTTTCCACAGGGGTCTGCCCATCTGTTCAAAATTTTGTAAATGGAAAAAGGCTAAAAACCACTGTTATAGAGCAGTTGTTCTTAGACTTGTGGTACCACTTGGAAAATGCTAGCTCTTAGTCAAAAGTGAAAACTACAGAATAATAGAGCAGGTTGTTTTTCTCTGTTGCAATGAACTCGGCGAGACCACAACTGTTTATCGTGTGAATCATGTTTGCACACCTACCCGTGCTAACATTGTGCAGCACCCCGTGGCACCCTTAAAAGGATCTCAAGGCTCCCCAGGCTGCTGTGGGCTCCTGGTTGAGAACTGTTGCTCTAGAGATCCCCATTTACTTTTCTCCAAGCACTTAGCTCAGGATAGGAAATTGGTGCCTAGGTGGAAACAGCAACAGAAGTCTGCTGATGGTGGCTTAACTGCAGCTGTGTCAAATTCGGTACCTGCCTTCTCTGTGGTGGGTACCGGCCCTAACAGCTGCCACAGAAACACCTGTAGCTCATGGGCCCCGTGTCTCTTTCTCTTTGGACCCTGGGGATAAATATCTGCTACAGACATTGATGCATGCTAGGAAAAATACCTGTCCAGACCTAGTTGGTTTCTGTTCCTGCCACAGTTCTCAGTAGTGGAGTCAGGTTAGGAGTAGGTAAGGTCTCCAAGGGAAGCCAGGTTCCTTTAGGGAGCAATGCACATGATTCACCAAGAAGCGCACGCTCTTCTGGAGGCATGATCTACACAGTCAGAAAATGGCCCAGCATCAGAAAGGGTGGTTACCTTTCTAGCCCATCTCAGCCACTCTCGGTACCAAGTTCCCCACAGGGTCTTGGGTCCTGTCAGCTTCAAGGCTCTTGTTAGAGGCAAGGCCCTCTGAGAAATAAGGTAGGGGGCCTTTAAAGGAGGTAAGAACAGCTGAGGCTGAGCAGGGGCTCTGAGTAACAATGTGAGGAGCATTAATGAGGTGCAAAAGGCTGAGAGTTGGCTGTTCCCCCAGGAATTAGCAGGCATGCTTAATTAGGCAGTGACTTGAGTATTGAAAACAGTGGGGTTTGGCGCACAACTTACATACCTGCTGGCCCTCCCCACAAGTGGGCTTCTTAAATGCCCTATCCCCAACTCTCCTGGCTTCTGTTTAGGTCTCCAGCTGATGTGTGGATCAGCACAGACTAAAATCTTAAGGAGAGAGTGCTGCACTCTATTTTTGATGACATGAACTGAGATTCCCTTTTTAAGGTTAGCGCTGATCATCCGACCAGGTTCCATCATAGCCACTGTACTGTCGTGAGACAACGCCTAACATTTTTTTTTTTTTCTCCCTCCAGAAGAACCGCACTGTTCTTGTGTACAGGGTTCATCAGTCATTGTTCCACCCCCAACTCTCTTGATTTCTGTATTTGCCCTAATGCCACATGCAGTAGAAATACTAAATGAGGCTTTTTCAACATAGAGTTTGAATGCTTTTAACTGTCTGGCATCCTGTCCTTGGTTATTTAATGTTTCCTGTGAGATTTTGCTCAAGGACTGTGTGACAATTAACTAATATTTAGGGAGAAAGTTTGCTCTTTGTAGACTTGAACCTGAAAACGGGTGTTGATTTACAGTTGAAACAACTTGGTAATTCTGGTCGGTCTCTCTCAGTGCTCCCCCTGCTTACACTGTTTCTCAAATCTGTTTCCAACTGTTTAGCATTGTTTTGACCTGATGAGCAGTAGTAGGTGGGCTCCAGGTCACTGAGGATGAAGCAATCCTTGGTTGGAGGGCATGATTTATAAGATTCATTAGGCTGAAGCATGCTATGCAAGGGATTCGCAAATGTGGCTTGCCTCAGTCTGACCCATACTCCTCTGTTCACGATGTCTGTTGGCAGGCATTGCAGTTGGCCGAGAATTTCACTTCTCAGGAGACTCAGAAGATGATACAAGCATTGGCGCTCCAGAACCAACGCTATCTCCCCCTGCTCCGGGCCCTTTCCTACTACTTGGCCCAGAATCGGAGTGAACTGCATGTGGGCGCCATAGTGGATCTGCTCTTTGCCTGTGGTGAGTGGGTCCCCTGAGTCAGTCCAGATAAGTGGAAACAGTAATCTCCTACCAGCTAAACCTATTGTCTCTGCCCAGGTTCTTATCCTTGTCCTTCTCCTGGCAGCAGGAGCAGCACATCTTATCAGAGGGACTTGGGCTACATGGGGAAAAGTTATAATGCCAGAAATAACAGTAAGAGTGGCAGGCTTCTCTTGGGTAGTGACTGATCATCTTACCAGTAACTAGAATGACTGGGCATTTAACAGCCTTCCAAGGGAGGCCATGGACTCTTCCTTTGGGTGCTTTCAGCTCAAGATTGAATTCACAAAAAGACAGCCTATCTCAAACACAAGTTATTGGGCTCAGTACTTGGGTACCTGAGTCCAGTTCTCCAGCCTGAGGTCAGACTAAATGATTTCATGGTCCCCCGTCTTCCTCAAATTGTGGAAAAGCCTGAGCAACTTGCCCAGGCTGTCCATTTGCTCACCCATAGCAGAGTCGGTGTCTCTCTTCCCAGCGGCCCCATCCTGCCGTACTATAGGGTCAGGCACCTTTTCTGCTATCTTGTCAAGTTCAGCACTATCCCCTTCCATGGTGGGGCTGACCTGTATGGCTGCCAAAGGACTATGTGTAGCTCATGGGCCTCGCGTGTCTCTAGGCACTGGAAATAAAAATCTGCTACGGACACAAGACAGTGAGTGTCATGAGCCTGCGTCCCTGACCCAATGATTGCGGTGTGCGGCTGGGCAGTTACTGTGATGGTGGCTGAGGTTGGCTTAGAGTTGGGGAGGGGACAACACTTACTTGGAGCCTCTTTTTCTTGTTGCATTGGCTTGGGTCCCTGCTGCCTGTCCTGTCCCTTCAGGTGCTGCAGTGCTCCAGGCTGACCCTGTGTAAGTAACTGCTTCTCTGTTCTGCCCTTTTTAAGGAACACTGAATTTCTCTGACTCCCATCTATTGGAGAAGCTGGCATCTGACCTACTTGCCCAAGTGCCCAAGATAACGCCCTTGTACGTGGTGCGCTACCTCCGCTCCTTTGCTACCCTCAGGTGGTTCAGCCTGCCGCTCTTTGATGCCACCACTCAGGTGAGGGGAAGGGTGGGGGAGATGGTCATCACTGGGCCAGGGGGAGACCTCAGCCCTCATCAGCTGCGTGAGTGGGGCTTGGAGTCCACTCCATCACTAGCCGAGGGGCCATGTCCCTGGTACACAGCGCATCATAAACTGCAGCTCAGTCGTTAGAGCGCTCCTGTGTGAGCAGTGAGGCGATGCCTGCAGGTTCAGGGGCAACTAGTCTGGCTTTTATAGTGCAGCATGGGCAGTTAGGACTGCAGGGATCTGGTCTGCTTGAATGAACTTGGGCCTCTCCCCGCCTCGGGTACAGTAGGGATGAGGATGCTGCTGTGGATGTTCCAAGTGCTGTCATTGCATTAGAAGCAAGGTGTTCCCTGTGGTAACACACAGAATTTGACTTGCCAAGTGCAAGGCAGCAGAAGCAGGCCTGGGGGCATGGATGGAGCAAGGAGTGGGGAGCTCTGGTGGGGCCTGAAGTGTAATCCCAGAGCTTGACCGTGCCTCGATTCCCTCCTCTAGCAGATGGGGATAACGTGCTGCTCTCTGCACATAGAACTCCAGGCCTTTGTGCTGCTGATTTGTACCACTGCAAGACTGTGGGTAGGGAGGGCTACTTGCAGGTAGCCCAGCCGCAGGCCAAGACCACATCCTCGGGCTGGGATTCTGCAGGGGGTGAGAGTGGGGCCTGTTCTGAGGAAGTTCAGGTCTGAGCCCGCAATCTTCTCTCTGGCTTTCAGTATATCCTGACCAACGCCGACCAGTTCAGCCCACTTCAGCTCTGCAGCATCGTGCAGTCTTTTGCCTACCTGAATTTCCAGCCCACCGAGAGGGACAGCTTCTATAACCTGGTAAATGCTTCACCGCCTGCTGCCTCCGTGCTCCCCTCAGGCTGTTGCCAAACTGTGGCCCTGTCTGGCTGCCTTTGGGAAGATGCTGTTGAGAGGTGGCCTGATTGAGATGCACTGCTGGGTGGGGTGTGTGTTGTGTGGTAAGAGCTGTGGCCTCTCTTGCATTGCAATACATCAGGTAGGTTGCCCTTAACCCTTCTCTGGCTGGATTACCCTGATAGCTCATTGCTGCCCATTCTGTCCCATGCTGGTTGCAGATCTAGAGGAAATAGGCACACGGTGACTGCAGTTATTCCAGCCCTCCAAGGGGCACATCTGGGTTTAGGAAGGCTGCAGCCTGGGTCATCTGCCTCCTCTCCTGCGTTCATGTGGGAAGAAGCCATGTGCTGATAGCTTTGCGTGCATGTCCAGGTACCCGGCATGCTAAGCCATGCTCTGGCCTGGTCCCTTCCACGCTCCTCTGGTCTCACACCTAGAACCTGGAAGTGATTGGAGGGGCAGCTGCACAAGATGGGTGTTATATGTAGCACTGAGAGCCAAGGTAACCAGGTCTTGGGCGAGGTCTGTGAGTGGCTGCTTTCTCAGAGGAATAGTTCATCCACACAGAACAGGCAGGGGCTAGGCAACTGGCAGATGCCAGTCTCTGCCCTGAGCACTATGTGCTTCAAGGCTCTTCACACCACAGGATGTGGGGCTGAGGTGAGTGCAGCATGGCTCTGAGGCTTCTGGGAACCTTCACATTTCTGACATGGACTGTAGGCCATTGACAGCCCCCCTCGCTGTCAGCTCTCTGCAGAGGGAGGGACCCCCGCAGGGGCTGAGCCGTGTGGCGGGCCAGTAGGGGGCGCTCCTGCGTTGAGCCGCCCACCTCCCTGCGCCCGACCACCTTCCAGGCTCCGAGTGCCCCCCCTGGGGGGC